CTTTTGCCAAGCATATCCTTTCTTTTAGATTTTTGAATATCTAAGGTCTAAGGCCCACGCTGGCATTTCTTTCTGTTAGAAATTTCAGTTTTCAGAAAATAAGAGAGACAGAAACCCCTGAGAATTGTTTGACCCAGTGAATTCAAATAATATCTGCCTGCAATATAAATTATTGGATAAGATACTTGCCCAGTTCCAGTGGCTGGAACACATGAGCATTGATTTAAGTCACTTCTGGCAGCTATTGAACAAAAGATTGAGATGAAGGATTATTCATTTATCCAAGAGACAGTGTCCCAGGGTTAAAGCCTGGCACAGCCGTTTAACCTTATATTTGAATTTGTAGCTTGAGAACAAGACTTAAGGAGACTTAGAGGAGGAATTCTTTTGTTTCAAAACTTAAAAGAGCATTAAAGTTCAAAACAGATTTCCTTTTTAATATGTGAATCTGTTTACTCCTGTTGAAAATGTGGAATCTGTATATTTTATCAAAAAAAGCATTTAGAAATGCCTCCTGAAATAATAGTACTGAACCAACTTATTGGGAATTTCCTCTCGGCTAGTACACTGTGAATATCCCTTATCCAAAATGCTTGGGATCAGAGTATTTTTGGATTTCAATTTTTTTCAGATTTTAGAGTATTTGCACATATTTATACTTGCATGCAATGTCTTGGGAACTAGGCCCACATCTAATATATGAAATTGATTTATGTTTCATATATACCTTAAACACATTGAAAATAATTTATACAATATTTTTAATAATTTTGTATATAAGACAAAGTTGGGGCTTTATTTATTTATTTGTGAGACAGAGTCACTCTGTACCTGGATAGAGTGCCATGGCGTCGTAGCTCACAGCAATCTCAAACTATTGGGCTTGAGCAATCCTCTTGCTACAGCCCTCAGAGTAGCTGGAACCAGAACTGCCCACCACAATGCCTGGCCAGTTTTTCTATTTTTAGTAGAGACAGGGCCTCACTCTTGTGGGTCTAGAACTCCTGAGCTCAAGCAATCCACCTGCCTCAGCCTCCCAGAGTGCTAGGATTATAGGAAAGAGGCACCATGCTCAGCCTAAAAGAAAATCCCATCACATGAGATTAGGTGTGGCATTTTCCATTTGTGGTATCACGTCAGTGCATAAAAAGTTTAGAATTTTTGATTTTGAATTTTCAGATTAGAAATACTCAACCTGTACTTATTTATTTTTGAGACAGAGTCTTACTTTATAGCCCCAGGCTAGTGTGCTGTGGCTTCATAGCTCATAGCAACCTCAAACTCCTGGGCTCCAGCAATCCTCTTGCCTCAGCCTCCCTAGTAGCTAGGACTAACAGGCATATGCCACCATACCTGGCTAGTTTTTCTACTTTTAGTTGAGACAAGTTCTCGTTTTTGCTCAGGCTGGCCTTGAACTCCCAGTCTGCCTGCCTCAGCCTCTCAGAGTTCTGGAATTACAGGCATGAGCCACCTCACCAGGCCCTCAGCCTGTATTTAGCTATGGGGTTGAAAAATGTGGTTGAGGCTCGGCGCCTGTGGCTCAAGTGGCTAAGGCGCCAGCCACATACACCCAAGGTGGCGAATTCGAATCCAGCCTGGGCCCACCAAACAACAATGACGGCTGCAACCAAAAAATAGCCGGGTGCTGTGGTGGGTGCCCGTGGTCCCAGCTACTTGGGAGGCTGAGGCAGGAAATTCACTTGAGCCTAGGAGTTGGAGATTGTTGTGAGCTGTGATGCCACAGCACTCTACCCAGGGGGACAGCTTGAGGCTCTGTCTCAAAAAAAAAAAAAGAAAAATGTGGTTGAACTTTGATATTAAGTGATAGATACCAGGTACTCAGATTCATTACCAAAAAGGTGGGAGAGGCAAATGAGATTTTCTGTAATATACCAGACTGCCATGTTTGTGATCCAAGGACTTTGAACTAAGTAGATGACCCCCCAAAATGAGAAGATATATGAGCTACTTCCATCAAGGACAGGACTTTATCCTAGTGTGAAAAAAATCACTCACTCAGATATGATTCATCCATTTTAAGCTCTTCGCTGTGTGGGCTTTTGCCCTGTAGATCTGCAATTGGCGTGTGAAAATAAACACTGTCTCATTCTTTACCATTTATATGATATTTTATTTCTGATCTTCATGGGCCCATGTCCAGATATTTACTTTAAGAGGAGTTTGTTTATATCATTTCAAATTGGGCTCATGTGGGCTAATTTTACTTTAAAAACAAAGAAAGTGCCTGACGATGGCTCTAAAACACTGAATTAGTTGTTGATTTCACCTTGACCAGCACAAATCACTCCCCCTAACATTCTTGCCAGGCACCTTGACCTCCATAACCCTGTTGGAAGAGATAGAATGAGCCCTCAGGGGTGTTTAATTAGGTAGAACTTTGCAAGGTCTTTTCAAAATTCTCTCACATCCCTCCCTTCCCTGCCTTACTTACTACTTGAGATTGCAGTTTTGCTTCCAGTGTTCTACATTTTTTAAAGAAAGCCGTAAGTAAGCCCAAGTGTTACAGGAAATCTATGACATTGAAATCTCTGTCTCTGCAAGTGGTTTTGATGTTTTGTTTTTGAACTTCAACTTGACATTGCTTCATGAGTTATATTTGTCCTTCCATTATTTTTCCCTGGTTCTCTTTCAAAAGTTTGGCCTAATTGTTACTATTCCACACATATTTCTGCGGCTTTTCTTGTTTGCTTTGTTTGCATGGACTCTGCAGGGGGTAAATATTCAGCAGGTTGAATGTGAAATCAGGCACACAACTACCCTTAGCCTTATCAGGGTTACACATGGAATTCTCCAAGCAGAGAACCTTTTTAGCTTCCTTTGCATTAGCAGCAGGAGGATATAGAACAACGAAGACTTGCAGCTCTTTCAAGGATGTGGGTTATAACCCTTCATTCACGTTAATGCTTGTTGATGTTATAACTTTTTTTTGAAGTTGACCCTGTTGGCCTCCCTTCATATGCAGCAATGCATCATCCCCATCAGTAGAGGATTTGTAAAATTGTGTTTTGTTCCCTGAAAAACATGAGATCGCATATATATGGAAAAAAGAAGAAAGGAGCACTTATTCGAGGGTCTAGAGACCTCTGCTGGTTAAGTGACTTGACGAGTGTTATTTTAGTTTTGTTTATTATTGAGAAGTAAGATAGACAGCTTGGCCTCAACACAGGCAATTCCCTTTTGAATTAGATTACTGATGAGTCGAATCCTCATTTAAGGAAGATACTGAGGTCAAATTGGCTAGAAGTCACGTTAAGAATATTGAGTGGCATCTTCTAATTAAATATTAATATTAACTTTGATTATTGGGTTTACTTTGGTAGACATTACCCTATAGAAATGCCCTATAAACACATAAAATTCTAGAATGATAGAAATGTTTATTTTCTGTGTAACTTTGGGCTAAAAGTCTTTTACCTAAATATATTTATCATTGTCAGTTAGTTGTGTGAATTGTGCCTGAGACAAGATATGAAATTTATGAAGACTTTTTATGGAATGTGGAATTAACATTGTCTTTATAACTATTAAGAATGAGGAAACAAAATGTGACCAGGGTGGCGGAGGTGGTGTACAACAGTGAGCAATACGGGAATTAAAGTCCTGCTTTGAATTCCTGTGTTAGACTGTAAGCAGGACTTGATTTTCTAAGAAGGTTTGATAAAAGTTAGGACTCACTCAGGATTTGGGGTTCTAGGGCCATACTGCTGTGAATAACTATCAATATGGAGTCGATCAGTAATAAATGACAATGATAGTCTTAGAGGAGAAAGTTATCCATATGACATATTGGAGTGAAATGGATTAGTTAGGGACAGACTAACCTATTCTAATAAAGGAGACCCCAACATACAGTGACTTCAATAAGAAGTTGTGTTAACCTGGGTGGAAATGAAGAACATTCTTCTTAGTAAAACATCACAAGAATAGAAAAGCAAGTATCCAATATACTCAATATGAAACTAGTAGATGGACAACTACATGCCCACAATAGAGAAAAACTGAACTAAACTCAATTAGGCCAGAGGGGAGGATAAAAGAGGATTGGTAAGCTCTCACTTAAGTGTACAGCACACCCCACCCCACACTTGAAGGGTTCAACTGCACCTTGAACTTTATATAACAAATGCCAACAATGTAACCTAGTTGTTTGTACCCTCATATTAATCTAAAATTTTAAAAAAAGAAGTTCATTTCTCTCTCACAGAATCTGTCCAAAAATAGGCAAGCGGGCCTGCGCCTGCTTGGCTCCACCAAGTCATTCAGGGTCCTAGGCTGGCAGGTCGGCATTTCCATCCTACATGGCTTCCATTTCTAAGCCCAAGGCTATTTCATTTGTCACTATTTTCCAATCAGCGAGAAAGGGCAAGAGGCTAGAGCAAGTATCCTTGAGTAACCTGCAAGTTGCTCTCATCGCTTTCACGCATATATGTATGTACATATGTATGTACAGTTGGCCTGAACTTAGTCACACGGTTATCTCTAGCTGCAAAGGAATCTGGGAAATGTAGAGGCGGCTGGAAATCCACAAGTCCAGCCAAAAGTGGCATGGTGGTGGTGCTGGGAGATTGTTCCCCAATGAAAGGAAAAAAGGAATAATAGATACTAGGATGTTTAATTTTGCCCTATGACAATGGCAGTTTTATTCATTCTACATTTAGTGATTAAAACACTACCAATATGAACCACAAAACCTGAGTGCTGGGTGGCACCTGGGGCTCAAAGGTATAGAGCGCCAGCCCCAGATACCAGAGGTGGTGGGTTCAAACCCAGCCACGGCCAAGAAAAAAAAAAAAGCCTGAGTGCTAAGCACAGGGTATAGGCACCTCCCTAAACCTCCCTTACCCAGCCTTGTTATTTGCATAACATCTGGAAAAGGAATTTTATTATAAATGTATGTTTGCCCTTTGATTGCGTATGATAAAAATAGATAGAGCATACACTGAAAGTGTGCTTTTTCTTTGCTTTTTCAATTGCTATAGCGCAACCTAATTGGATTCAAAAAATAAGTGATATCCACGTGGCCATGGAAGAAAATGTCTTCTGGGAATGCAAAGCAAATGGAAGGCCCAAGCCTACATACAGGTGGCTAAAAAATGGCGAACCACTGCTAACTCGGGTAAGCAAATTGATGGTAATTGTGTCTTAGAATTGACTGCAGTGTTTAATGTAGCCTCTTTGTCATGGAAACAGAAAAATGATGAGTTATTTCCAAAATAATACGCCACTAAATGCCATTAATAGCGGGAAAAGTGAAAATGAATGTAGCTGATGATAGAAAGGACACATAAATCCAGTTCCCCAGCCTCGATCAGTTAAATGTCTGTATTAGACCTTAGGTCTTTGCAGATTAACATCTGGGAAAGTTATCCAGATAGATCTGGAACTTGTAATTCTGCTAAGATACAAAGTCAGGTCCATCCCAGGTCCACTGCAGGAGAAGGAATACTGATACAAGAATCCCAATCTAAATGCAGTAAGACTCGGAGAACAAATCTGAATGAAGCAGGCGCAGTCTTGGAGGCTCTTAGAACATGGAACAGTTGTGTCCAATTTAATTTTCCTACTGAACTTCAAATATTAATTGAAATTAGGCATTTTCCCCAGGCTCCAAGTTGAGAGCCTCCCCCCCCTTTTTTTTCATGCTCAGATTTCCTCTTCCAGCAGACCTCCAGGAAAGAGGGCCTGCTCTAAACAATGGCCCAGACATTAACATTCCCAACTGGAAGAGGAAAGGACCTGTTTCTCCTAAGATGCCCTGTGAGTCATGATCCTCTCAGCTGTAAAAGCCAAGCTCAAACAAATTGCTAGAGCGTAGGTGCCCAAGTAACTGAAATTTTCCTCTCTTTGGGTAACCTGAAAAAATATGGCTGCCTAGATTTGATCAAAGCTGAATAAAGTGTCACTCAGCTAAATCGCAAGCCTATGGTAAACAGAAAACCAGAACTTTCTTGTGTATGTTCTTTCTCCAAGCAATAAGGCCCATGGAAAGGAGATCCTTTTTGATACTTATGAAAATTGATAAGCAATTTGCATTATCGTCAGGGTGACAAATGAGAATGATCTCTTGTGCCCTGCTGTGCTTCCTTCAGACTGGCTACAAGCAAATGGGTCTAAGCTTAAATTACATAACTGACAACAATAAAGTAAGGGAGCGTTTAATTATTATACTACCCTATTTTAGTAAGCCTCAGCAGATAGTAAATACTTACCGCTACTTCATCCAAGAAGTTAACAGTCCTATTAACCATCAAAGCGTTGCCTGCTCATAATTTGAGTATCTTAAATACTCTAAACCAGTGATTCTCAACCTTCCTAATGCCAGGATGTATTTTCATTGTTACAAAGGGGTTGCGACCCACAAATTGAGAACCGCTGCTCTAAACAGTAAATTTGGTTGTATTTCCAAACCCCCATCCTTTAGTCAGTACAAAGCCTTAGAGTCAATAAGCATTTTAAATTTCAAATTCTTCTATTTAAAGGGGATATTAATCTGAATGGCTTCACTATTAAGTCAATGAGAACTCAAGAGAATACTACAATTTAAATTCCATTTACCAGCAGATGTACTGGTTGTTCCATTTAGCATCTGACCTGCCACAAATTTAGTTGACAGATAAATAGATCATGTTATGTAAATTGCTTATATGATGGCTATTTTCTTCCCATTAAGCTGCTGTGATATAACACACAGCAAAATTGCCTCAAAGTCTCCGTTGTAGAAGGTCATTGTTTTTGCGTTCCTCTTTTCTTTCACAGGACAGAATTCAAATCGAGCAAGGAACACTCAACATAACAATAGTGAATCTATCCGACGCTGGCATGTATCAGTGTGTGGCAGAGAATAAGCACGGCATTATCTTTTCCAGTGCAGAGCTGAATGTTATAGGTGAGTCTTTAGACTGGAAAGAAAAAATAAATAAATAAATAAAAGCTCTTTAAATCACTAAACTAACATGTGTTTTGCTAAGCATCAATATTTGACCCAAGAAAAAGAGTAAAGAAATCTTTACATATTGCCGGAGTAACAAATAACGTGGCCTGCAAGCTTATCTTGCAAGAAGAGGCCAGTTTCTCAGTCAGCCTCTTCTGATGCTCATAATGGGTAGCACACACAGTTCCCTGGGTGCTCATTTTTATTCTCTTACTGACCTCATTTATAAATTGATAAGTTTGGGAAATGCTTGGAGGTCTGCTGCTATGGTTCTGATTTGGTGCAAACTTCAGCTTGGGCGGAGTGAGAGCCAGGTGGGTTTGGAGAGGCTTATTGGTGCAGCTGACACAGTGAACCGTGTTCTTCCACCACATCTGAACTTCCCAGGCTGTACTTTAACAGTCTTTCCTCCAGCCGCCTCTCCCAGCCCTGTGCCACTTCCTCCCTCCTCTTCAGCAATTCTGTTTTGTTTCTGCATGTCAGCCCTGGGCCTCTGGCTTCTGCCTGGAATGCTTTTCCTTCCCCTCTCTGGTCTGTATCTCCTAATCATTCTCCATTTCCCAGCTCCATTGTCGGCTTCCTCAGAAAGTCACACCCTACCCTGTGCCTGGGTCAACTCCTCCTACAACAGATGTTTATACTGTCTCTTGCCTCTCCTTTATACAGATTCCACAGTTAACATTTTACGTTTATTTATGTGATCTCTGTTGTCTTTTTCTCTCACTGCACTTTAATTTCTACATGATGTCAAGGGTCATTTTTGGTTCAATTTGTCATTTTGTTCCCAGGACTTAATGCAATATTGAAGCACATAGTATGCACCTCGTCTATATTGAACAAAGTAGGAATGAATGTGTTAAAACGAACGAACAAGTTGAGCGATCGTTTTATAAAATGGGTAATGAGTTAAGTAAATAAAGAATTGAAAACATAGTTTGAGTGAATGGACAAATCTGTGGGCATTTAAAAAAAGTTCAGGCTATTAACCTGCATTATCCCATAGAAAATTCTTGAACTTATCTATCGTAAAAGAAGAGAAGGTGATAGTAAAGCTAAAAGCACCAAAACAGATGTACATGAGTTTGGCACTGCCTCCTATTTTAAAGGATCTGAGCAGTAGTTCTCCTTGGTGAGAACATAATGGAAAGATGATGAGTAAGAGAAAAATAGCACCAAGGGAGCTGATTCACGTGCCCTGATAATTTGCCCAGTTTCAGGATTTTGACTTTCATTTCTGCAAAGCACTCATTGGTGCCTAGTGTGTAGATCACACATATTATAAGTAGATGCTCTTAAGTTGAATGTACTTCCATCCTGTGCAATGTAAAAAAGGGAAGGAAACCCTTCCACCACTGATCTTCTCACCAAGTTCTTCAGCTTGGACCAAGATCCCTTCAAAGACAAGGATTTAATGGAACTACAGCCTTTTTTTCAGGGCCTAAGACTGGTTCTGTGCTCCTAGAATAAGCATCAGCTTGGCTTGGTCCATTGTAAGCATAACCTTTTTGAAAGTCTAAACCTACTTATCTTCTACACATAAATGTTGAGAACAATAATTCTATCTTCCTCCAAAACAAGTGCAATTCTGGCTATTCTCTGCCCAGATTTGCTCTGGTTATTAATCTCAGTCTTTTGGAATACAATTTGTTGTAGCAGACTGCTTAGGAGTTTCTTCTAAGGAAATGTGTTTTTATAAGCCTGGGTACCTCTTCATAACTTAAAAGATTTTGTAGCTCCCTTCATTAAAATAAGAAAATTTGGTAGTAACAGATGACTACAATGAAGCAACAAAGGCTATTAAATGATTTTTGTCTAGAGCACCGATCCATAACTAAGAATAACAGAATGTGTGTGTGTGTGAGAGATATAGCCCTCTGTTCCCTAGCTCCCTAACCAGGATTCAAGGCCTGTGAGCTGGGAATTGCTGCTCCAACTTTTACATCATAAGGTTTATTTAAAATCATTTCCAGTTGTAACTGTCTAATTCCAAATGAATTCTTGATCTAAGTTGTTTCTTATGTTCCCTGAGATCAGCAAGCTAGATGTATTAGTCTGTGTAAGCTGTTATGGTATAATAAAAATACCATAAACAGTAAACTATAAACAACTTTTATGTCTCATGGTTCTGGAAGCTGAAGTCTGAGATCAGAATCCCAGCATGGTCAGGGTTTGGTGAAGGCCCTATTCCAGGTTGCAGACCGCTAACTTCTTGCTGTGTCCTCCCCTGGCAGAAGGGACAAGGGTCTCTCTAGGGCCTTTTATATATGGATATTAATCCCATTCATAAGAGCTTCATTCTCACTACTGAATCATCTCTTAAAAGCCCCACCTCCTGATACCATCACCTTGGGGGTTACTATTTCAACCTATTAATTTTGGGAGGTAGGAGAGACACAAACGTTCAGAGCAGTGAAGATAAGATGAAAATGCCTTAAAAGTTATTTAACTACCCTGCTCCTAGCCATATTTAGCAGGAGAACAATAAAGGCATGTCAATAAATGATATAGGCCAAAAAGTTTTACAAATAATAAGGCTTGGGGCGGGAGCGGATTCAGGAAAAGGAGTTTAGCTAACAGATTAGGTTGGTTCACTAAACTTTGAACTATTTAGATTTGGAAAAATGGAAAAGAGAACCAAGAATATTCCAGCTTAGAGTGAAATAGCCTGAAAAAAGGCTCAGCATTATAAAATAATTAGATTAATATCCTGCAAACATCCTGAAAGTTTTCAAAATTTTTGATTCATCAGTGGATGAATGGATAGAGAAAATATGATAAACATATAGAATGAATATTGTTTAACCATAACAAAATAAGGGAATCTTACTATATGCAGCAACTTGGATAAACTTTGAGGACATTATGTTAAGTGAAATAAGCCAGGCAGAGAAAGGCAAATACCACATGATTTCTCTCATATGTGAAATCTAAAAACTGATCTTACAAGCGTAGAAGAGAGTGGTGGTTACCGGGTGCTGGGGCAGTGGTGGCAGAAAGGAGGGTTGAGGAGATATTGGTCAAAGGATGTAAAATTTCAGTTAGGAGAAACCAGTGCAAGAGGTTTACTGTGCATATGGCGACTATAGTTAATAATATATTGTATTCTTGAAAAATGCTAAGAGAATGGATATTAAGTGTTCTCATCACACACACACACAAAATGATAACTACCAAGGCAGTGCATATGTTAATTAGCTAGATTTTGTCATTCTACTGTATATACTTCAAAACATCATATGGCACACATTACATATGTGTAATTTTATCTATCAATTTAGAAAATAATTAAACTAATTAAATAAGTATTTTGATCCAAATACATAAAGCAGGTATAGTTAAAGTTTAAAGTTGAAAAAGAAAGACGGAAAATTCTTTAAGGAGCAGTTTTAGATATTCTCGAATGATAGGCATAGAGGTCTTCTCTTTATAATCCCATTTTCCCTTCCCCCAAATCACATTAATATATTCCAAGTGAATTGAAGGGCGGTTAGGTATTGAGTAGCTAAATCCCTAGAGTCCCTCTTAAGTGAATAAAGACGGAGACTTCTGGCTACTTAAAAATATACATAAATTAACATTGGTTAACTTGAGTAGACTCTAATATGATTATATTCCACAAGTAATTTTGTTCCTTAAAGAACAGTAATAGTTCAGCTCTTTTGAGTCAGATAACTACATTGTTATCACCTGTTTTAGAATCATAAGAAAGTTGAATTGAACAAAGAAACAAAATGGAAATAAGATACTTCTGGATAAGGAAGAAAAAAAAATTGTTGGTCTCAGCTATTGATCAGGGACTCCCAATGCTACAGAGGAGATTCCCTTTAATGCCAGGTAATAGCCCTGAAGTTATGAATAAGAGATGGTTAGGAAGTATATGTTTAATAGATTTTTCCCTTGGCCTTGTTTCATGTGTTCTGTCTGGGTATTTAATGTGTATGGAACATATCTATATTTAATGGATTGAAACTGCTAAATAATTAACCTGGGTGATAGGTGATTTACTCATTGGATGGGCAAATACCATAGAGAGACTTTTACCTTGAGGTCAGTATATTAGAAGGCCTGGTTATAAGTATGTCAAATGGAAATGTCCTTGTTTGTAACTGACCTACTACAATTGATAGTTTATTATTTCTGTAGGCTCCTATCCCAGACCTTTCCTCCTGTATTAACCCATGGTGTGGATGAGGTTCACTTGTGCGATGTACTTCTGTGGACATTCCGGGGTGCTGCATGGTTCTCTGGGCGATAACTGTCATTCGATCCCTCTGAAACTGGAGTGAATAAAGTCTTACAATCATGAGGAGGCTTGAATCTTCTATGAATAAGTTAAAAAGTAATATTCAGTATGTAATTTAGGTATTTTATTGGCTTAAAACGTAACTTTTTAATATAATATTTCTACTCACATTTAGTATTTGTGTCCAGATTTGTGATTAGCTAGATCAACCTATCGGTGATAGGACTGCTGATTAAATCGCCAACCTTGACGTTTTCTGCGGTGCTTCCTACAGAATGCTTCTATCGTATATATATATAAAATCATGTGGCACACAGAGTAGCTATCTAAGGTCCCCAAAAAACAAGTCTGAGGCAATTCATTGAAGGATTTTTCTCTAGGAAAAACTAATAAGAAAAAGCAAAATAAGGATGGGGGGTGGGAACTGAGCAAAGATAGGGTCTTAGGGAAAGTCTAGCCTAGCTCTAGTCCAGAAGGAGAGTGACTGGAACATAAATTGCACATCAGAGCCATTCCTACCTTACGTCAAGGAGACTGGCCTTTAAAAAAAAATCTCATATGGCAGCACTCGTTGCTCAGTGGGTAGGGCACCAGTCACATACACCGGGGCTGGCCGGTTGGAACCTGGCCCAGGCCAGCTAAAACAACAATCACTACTGCAACAACAACAACAACAACAATAGTCAGGCGTTGTGGCAGGCACCTGTAACTA